GCGGCCGGGCGCGGACGTCGGCATCGTGGCGAACTTCGAGCCTGCGGGGACGAGCGAGGAGAGGGCCCTGCCCCAGAAGGCGATCACGAGGAGCATGGAGCTCAGGCAGTTCCAGGAGCTGAAGAGCAAGACAGGGGTCGACCTGAACATTTATGTCTACTTCAAGGGCGCTACGCACTACACCATTATGTCCACGAGCAAAAGGGCGCTGCACGAGAGGGGGTGCATCATCGACTTAAGCGCAAGAGACCTGCTCAGCAAGTCGAATACGAATCTGGAGGCGCTCAAATGCATGGCGCGGGACGTGGCCAGCCACTTCGGTCTGCCCGAAAGTGTCAAATTCACCGAGAGGCCTAAGCGAGACATCAGGATCTTCGACTACTCGTCGACGAGGCGCGTCACGGACTCGCTCCTTTTCAAGAGACCTTCCGCGAACGGCACCGTTTTGCCTTTCATGTTCGCCGGCGATGCCCTTCTTGAGCCCTTTTGGCTCACTGGCATCGGACTTTGGCGTGGCTACTTCGGCGCGTTCGACGTCGTCTACAGCTTAGAAGAATGGTTTAGCGGCTCGACGGAAGACAATAGTGACACCGTGAAGCGTATGGACACAATGAAACGCCTGAGCAATTATGCGCTGAACAAGCTGAAAGGAATTTCAGGAGGCTCAGGCGATCGGAATCTGCTATTGCCAGAGGAAGCGTGGTCATTCGCCCCTTCTAGTCGATACGATGACTGGCGCCCATGACCATCGGCCAGAGCTTAGATGCGCTGTGTGCAGTCGCGCTGATCTGCACAAACGCTTGGTAGCGAATTCAGTCTTGGGGTAGCAACGTCACGAACAAGGGTGTCGTTCTGGTTCCTCGTCCGGCTCCTGTTGCTATTCATCTTGTTCCTTCTTTTGTTCCTCCCCCTCCTCGTCCTCCTCCTCCTCCTCCTTTCCCTGCTCCTCTTCCTGTTCCTCCTCACTCCCCCCTCCTGCTGCTCCTCCTGTTTTTTCCTCTTGCTTATCCTGCTGCTCCTCCTGCTGCTGTTCTTGCGGCTGCTCCCCCTTCCTCGTATAATCGTCTTGTTCACTTTTCCTGCTCACTGTTGTCGCTCTCCTCTCCTCATCCCCTCCTCCCTCATGCTCCTTCTCTTTCCTGTCCCCGTCGTCCTCCCCGTCCTCCTCATCTTTCTCCTGCTCCTCGTCCTCGTCGTCCTTCTCTCTTCTCCGTTTCCCCGTCCTCCTCCCCTCCCCCTTTCCCCCTCCTCAACCTTTCCTCGTCCCTCTCTACCCTTGTTCTTACCCAGCTGTCTACGGCGAGTCCCACCACCATGCGTGGACTGTGGGCGTGAAGCCTCTTGAATGTTTGTTGGGATATCGGGGGAGGCCTTTCAGGGGCCTCTTGGAGGCAGTTCTGAGGCCTCTTGGGGGCCTCTTGGGGCTTCTTTTGGGCCTCTTCGGGGGCCTCTCGGGGGCCTCTCGGGGGCCTCTTGGGGTCTCTTGGGGTCATCTTGGGGCCTGTTGGGCGCCTCTTGAGGCCTCCTGGGGACTTCTTGGGGCGGAAGCTCGGATTTTCGGTTCGTGTTCCCTCTCTCGAACCCCTTTTGGGGCTGCCTTGGGGCCCCCTTGGGCCGTTTTGGGCGCCTCTAGGGCCGACTTGGGGCGCTTACAGGCCGTCTTGGATCCTCTTGGAGGCCTCTTGGGCCGTTTTGGGGTGGTCTTGGGAGCCTCTTGGGCCGTCTTCGAACGTCGGCAAGCCGAAAATGCGAGAATGCCAAGATCCTTCACACACCTAAGGCCAAGCAGTTATTTTTGCCTCGGGGGTCCCCTTGGTAGGCCTCTTGGGAGGCCTCTTGGAGGCCTCTTGGGGCGTCTTGGAGGCCTCTTGTGCCATCTTGACGCCATCATGGGCGTCTTCGAGCGATCGTTTGGCGACTCGGGGCCCTCTGGACCGTCTTGGGGGCCTCCAGTGCCGTCATGGAAGCCTTGGAGTGCCCCAGGGAGGCGCCATGGCCGCCCAGGGACCTCGCGGGAGTAGGGGTGGTGCAGTCACCTGGGCGTGAGGGGAGCATGGGGGGGTTCTCTAGACGACTACAGAAACTCTGCCAGGCAGCCCTTGGCATTCTTCCACGCATCAACGTGCCGCAGGCACGGTGGCGGCTCTAAATGACCTCCCTGTCGCGCCCCCAGACGTGTTGGTATGGCGGGCCGGGCCTTTCGCTTCAGTCTTTCCTTGCATTTCTGATCCTGAAGCTGGAAACGTGCAGCGGTTTCAAGGATGGAGGGCGGGCCGTTTTCACAATGTTGCTCTCGCATGCAACAGTTTGAAGGATTCGTATGGTTGAAACACAAGAATGGTGTTCTGGCGCGACTTCAGGTTGCCAGGACGCAGCAGCATCGTTGATTCGCGGTGTTGAGTTCGCAGGAATGGTGTCCTGGCCTGATTTAGGATTGTTACGTTGATTCGCGGTGTTGCAGTTTTATCAAGTGCGTTTTGGCACGATCAAGCATTATCAGACTGTTGTTTTGCATTGTGGCACTCCCCGCAATGATAATCATTTCTAATATGGACATTTGAAGAGGGAACTTGGAGTGAGGTTTCAATGTAACATCGTTGATGCGGCTTGAGTTTGCACTGATCCGCTATTTTTCCCCTCTTCCCACCGGGCCCGTCTCGTGCCTGTCGGGACCTTGCACACGCTCGAGTTGTGTCGGCCGCCGCGTCGGAGGCAGCTGTGGCTGCCCATCAGGAGCGAAGCCCGCCACCCTTCCCGCCCTTGGAGGTGCCCCTCTCGGACCCGTCGTGGGCTGAGGTGGCTGGGGGGGTTCCTTAGCGGGATAGCGGGGACCTCGGAGTGGTGGGCCTTTCTCTCCTCTCCCCTTCCCCCCGCTCCCACGCACGCCGTGCTGCGCAAACGTCCAAGAACGTCCTCCTCCTCGTCCCTCCTTCCATCCCCTCCTCTCTCACTCCTTCCCCCTCCCCCTCCCCAGGCGGAGGAGGGCACCTTCAGGGGCCTCCAGAGGTCCCCCGGAGGCTCGGGGGGGGGGCCTCGAGAGGCTCCTGCCAGGGCTTCAGGAGCTTCCCGAGCGGGGTCAGCCGTGCGGGAGGGCCTCGTGCCAGAGCGAGGGCGTGGCGTGGCACCGCGCAGCACTGCTAGCAGCCTCCCAGCCAGCGCCGTGCTGTGCCGGCATGTCCCTGCTCGGCGGGGGCGCCTCGCGCGCGGGTTGCGTGCAGGGCCTTCGGGCCTCAAGAGGCGGTGGGTAACCTGAGCTGGTTGCGTCTTAAGGATCCTACCACGGCTGGCTACAGGTATCACAGGATCCCACCCGAGTTGGCTGCAGCTCTGCAGGGCTCCTGTTCGAGCTAGCTGCACCTGATAGGATCCCGCGGGAGCTGGCTAATGCTGTAAAAGGGCTCCGCGAGAGCTGGCTGCATTTCAACACATCCCTGTTGCAGCTAGCTGCGCCTCTCATGTAACCCTGCTGGACCTGGCTACGACCCTAATGGATTTCCAGTAGCGCTGGCTGCAGCTCTGGTGTGATCCGTTCAAAGATGCCTGGAGCGCTAGTGTAGTCGTATTTGAGCTTGTACCACTCCCACATGTCTCATCTAGTCCTAATAAAGCTGGCCACGGCACTATTGGGACCCTAATGCTGCTGGCCACCACTATCATTATTTCGTTACACGTGAGAATGGCAAGAAGAAGGGGAACGATCATAGTGATGGTCTCACGGGCGGGAAGGCACCCTTGGCCGAGGCCAGCGCTGCAGAGGTTGTGGATGTGGATCTCTTCACGCGCGGCAGGCTCCTCGTTTGGGCCAGCCAAGGTGTGGAACTCTGAGGCGGAACACCCGGCGTTCGCCCTCACGCCCGACAGCCACACTCGCCGTCGTGTTCCCCAGGGCCTCGGGCGGCTTTTTTTTGGCCCCCAGGCGTCGCCCCCCCCCCTCTCCCCCCTCCAGCCTCCTCCCCTTCCATTGATGACGGAAGCGGGTTTTTCGACCTCGATTTCTTCGCCTTTTCCCCCCATACCGTCCTTGCCAGCTTTCCAGGCCGCTTCCAGCCATTGCGACAAAGAAGCCCCCCCCCCCCCGAAACTGCGTCTTGTTGCCTTTAACGAACTCCTTTTTGTCGCGCCCCCCCTCGTGTTGGTTGGGCGGGCTGGGCGTTTCGCCTAAGGTGCCCTCACCATTTGTCATCCTGAAGCTTTACATGTGCAGCAGTTTCACGGATGGAGGGCGAGCCGTTTACAAAGCGTGGTTCTCGCCTTGGCGCCGGGTGAATTTGTTTTAAAAGTGCACAGCAGTTTCAAGGATGGATGACTCATTACTTTCTTGTGGTTCTCGCTCTAGCGCCATGCACATTCGGTTTGCAGCAGTTCCGAGGACATGTGGCGGTTGGTTCTCAAATCGTGGTTCTCGTCTTAACGCCTCGCGCATTGGCACTAACAGTTTGCAACATTCAGAATACGGCTCTCGCCTCAGCGTCGCGCACATTCGCCGTAAAGGTTTGAGACAGTTTCGAGGCTTTGTATGGTTGAAATCTCAGGAATGGCGTTCTGAATGGCGTTATGAATCCATTCAGGATTGCCATGACGCAGCAGTTGCGCTCATTCGTAGTTTTGACCTCCCTGTGTTCTGGCAAGATTTAGGGCTGTCAGGACGCAGCAGTCACATTGAGCCGCGGCATGCGAGTCCCAGGATTTGCCTTTCGGTGCTATTAAGGTTTCTCAGACGGTTGTCTTCTAATGGGTCCTGCAATGAAAATATATTCTCGTAGGGATCTGTGAACAGGGAACTTGGAGGGAGGATTTATTGCAACCTCGTTGATCCGTCTTGGGTTTACTCTGGTCCTCCGCATCCTGCTCTTCTGCCTCCGGCCTCCCGCCTCTCATCTTCGCCTCCTCTTTGCCCCTCTCCTCTCCTCGTCCTCCTCCTTCCTTCTCCTTTGCCCTTTTCTCCCTCCCTGCCTCTATCCTCCCCTCTCCCTCGTGCCGCCCGTCGCGCTCTGCCCGAGGACGTGTTTGAAAACTTCTACAAGCAGCACCTCGCCCGGCGCTTGCTGACGGGGCGCAGCGTCAGCGACGAGGCCTCTGCGCTCGGCTCCGCGTGCGAGTAGGGGAGGGGGAAGGGGGAAGCGGGGCTTGCAGCCTCTCCTTCCAGTTCTTTTTCGAAGAACCAGCGCCGGTGTGCACGTAAACATTCGCAGGTCCGCGCCGTGTTTGTAGATCTGCGCTGGACCCCGCTGGCGGCGCCTCCGGCGCCCCCCCCTGGCGCGCCCCGCGCGCAGCGCACTCGGGGAGGGGGGCCCAGCGCCGATCCAAGAAATTCGAGCGGTCCTCCGACCGTTTGTGCTTCCCTGCACCGTCGCACCCCGCCCATATGTGCACCTCAGCCTTGGCCGGTGGCCGTCCGCCGCGGGCGCTCTGCGCTGCGAAGCACCCTCGGCCCAGCTCGCCCGTTTTTTTGTTCCCGCTCAGCACCAGTGCCTCCTCCCCCCTCGGGCTTTTGTTTGGGGAGAGGGTTCTGGAGACCTCTAGGGCCTTCCTCCATCCTCCCCTCCCTCATTCCCTCCTCCCTCGCTCCATCTCGGTCGACTCCGCGCTCCTCCTCGCTCGTTCTCCCCCTTCTCCCCGTTGCTCGCCTCGCGACGGCAGCGTGACACGGATGAGCACTGGGTAGACCCAGGGCGCCTGTTGACGGGACGCCGTGGTCCAGCATGGGCAGCGCGTCGACCCTTCCCGCTCCTTCGGGGGCGGATCGTCGTCGGCACCAGCGCGGCACTGCGAGCTACACCGGGTGGTTGTGTGGCTCGGCCCAGTTTTCCCAGTGTTCTCGCTGCCCTCCCCGTCTCCGTCCCGCGCCTACCCTCCGCATCCCTCTCTTTCTTCTGGAGGCGGCCCTCGGGGGTGCGTCCAAGGGCGCCGAGACCGACGGGCTTGGCCGGCATTTCTTGCGGCCTCTCGTCGCGGCCGGGGGGCAGCTAATCAATCGGCGCGCCTCGTGGCAAGCCCTGCTCGCGCGTGGCCCTCCGCGGTGGCTGCCTCGAAGCCTGCGCGTTCCCGTACCCAGAGCATGCTCGCGGCCCTGCCCGCGCGCGGCGCCCAAGAGGAGCCCAAGAGGCCAACATATGCGATTTTCCGTAGGTTTTCGATGGATTTTGGAACGCTCGCCTTTTTCGGGCTTCCGACGCTCCAAGGCGGCCCGAGAGGCTCCCCCTGGCCGCTCTCCCGCCTCGCCCGCTGCGCCCCACCCTCCAGCTCCAGCTGGCGGGCTTCGGCGGCGGAACCCAGCCGCACAGGAGGGGGGGCGCTCGGCGTGCCGACGAGCGGCTCAGGCCGAGGCCCATGTGGTGAGACAGTGCTCAGGGGAGCCGTAAGTCATGACCCCCCGGATCCCCAAAATTCGAGTGGGAGACCGGCTACAGAATTGACTTCCCCCAGAAGTGTGTCCCCCGTCGAATCCTCGAGAGAAGAATTGTTCGTAGATCTACGAACATCCTACGTAGTCTCTGTCGGTTCGACGGCAATTTCAACTTCGGGCCGAATCAATTTTGTAGTCGATCTCCTACTCGACCAGTCTTCCCAAGATCGCGAAGATATTCCTGCGGCTCCTCACAGACTCCATAAGCAAGGGCCACCAGATGCTCCAGATCTCCTGGAGCTCACCTTGGGCCGATCGCATCATGACACCGCTCGTCCTGAAGATGTTTCTGCTCCCCCCAGGAGGAGCGCAGATGGTGACCATCATGTGGCGCCTCTTGGAATCCTTCGGTCAAAAGCTCCCTGCCTTACAGTCGGACCGAGGTATAAGATCGAGATCGCATCGGGGAGGGTACCCTACTGTTCTTCGTGCTTGTTCGATGTTCTTGTGTATCCTGGGGGAGGGTACACTTGAATGCTATTCTTTTTGGCCGGCGGAGGGTCTCATGTTCTTGAAGGACGTCCTCCTGGCCTAGGTCTGACTGTATTCGAAAGCCGTGCCCCCCGCCCTGCTAGCCCCCTTCTGCGCACCGCCAAGTTTTCTCTTGCCGTGCATAACGAGGCTCGTCCACTTGCTGTGGGACTGTCCATCCAGGCAGACACCTTCTCCATTTATCTCCTCGTGGCAAGGCAAGGCCGAGTCGAGCGGCCCAGCTCGGTTGCAGTGTCCTGCTTGGCATGAGGGCTAACGTGTTCTGTCTTCTCTGCTCCCGCGGTAGTATTTCCTCCCCTTCCTTCTCCCAGTTTCCAGGACTTCAGAATTTGTTGAGATCCCCCCAGACTGTGTTCTTCTCCTGCTCCTTCTGCTTCCCCCTCCTTCACCTCATCTTCCTCCTCCCCAGGCAGAGAAGAGTATGATCTCCAAACTGAAGAGCGAGTGCGGCCATCAGTACACCTCCAAGCTGGAGGGCATGTGAGCCCCTCCGCGCTTATGCCCTGAGGGGGGATGAAGAGGAAGAGTAGGAGGAAGAGGAGTAGGAGGAGGAGGAGGAGGCAGAGGAGGAGGCGGAGGGGGTGTAGGAGGAGGAGGAGGAGGAGGAGGAGGAGGAGGAGGAGGAGGAGGAGGAGGAGGAGGAAGGTCTGGGCTTGAGTGGGCCTAGGGATGCCCGCAGGAGCTTTTCCACGAGTGGTTTTCGGCACAAGTACACTAGCCAAACCTTCCCAGTTCATGTCTCGTGTGTGGTTACGTACGCCACCACGTTCCATTTTCCGTCAAGAGCTTATTTGCCCGAGTTCTTGTTGGCACCTCAAGGCGCGACGGGAACGGGCGCAACCTCGAGTGCTGGTACGACTCGGGGCCGCAGTCGACCTCTTGAAAGCTCGTCACAGCGCTCAGAGACCTTCGATATCACAGATGCCAGGATGGTAATGTCAATATGGCGCCCAATATTCAGGAGGCCATGTCTACTGCCGCTCATGTTTGGGTCATTGGCGGGATGTATGTTCTCAGCAGTCTCATCGCCAAGGTCGTCGGAGGTATCGAAGCAAATCCAGGCGGGCATCTTCATGAAGGCAGCCACCGTGGCTGTCGTCCAGCGAAAGAGTCTTCGCATATTCGTGAGAATGGTGCCATCAAGCCGAACGCCAATCATCATGAGACCGCCAGTCGCGCGAAGACCACGAAGCTTAGATGCAGTTCTTCTGGCCTCACTGCAGTGGGCCGCCCAGACCATCAAGGGCGAACTCAAGACGGTGCAGGACACGGCCAACATTCTCCATCACAGCTCGAGGATCACCGCGACCAGCTCGACGGCATGAAGCGCACCAAGTCCGAGCTCATCGACATGCAGGAGATGGAGCAGGAGCACGACGACGCCTGCAAATTTACGAATCAATGCCTTCGCGGGCTCCTCCAATTTTCAGGATATCTTCGCACGTCCGGCGCCTCTTAGTATGCGTCAACGTGTGATTGTTGATTACTGGTCTGATCGTGCGCGCTCACCGACGATGGAAGCAACAGCTTCGTCGCTCATGTTTGCCGTACGTAAGCAAGTCGGATTGGCACGACGGAAGGGTAATGCGGTTCGCAGTTTTGCCTCGCAAGCAATGGCGTCGCAGGTATCGAACAACCGAGCACGCAAGAATTGTGTCGCATATGGCCAATCCTTCGGGGCCGCAGAAGGGCAGGGAAAGGCTCACGAGTCGACGCCCCTTGTGGCACGGCTGGCCTCACATCGGGGCCGCGTTCGCGGTTTCACCACGAGCATGGTTTGCGGACACAGCAGGATCACGCTTGGCGCAAGGACGCATTCGACCAGCAGCGGCGCGGTCGCTCGAAACGCCAGGCGACAGCATGGCGCCTCAATACCACCTCTGCGTTGGCGTACACGGCGCGGATCCCCAGGCCATGCACGGTGCTGACGTTGCGAGAGAGCGAGAGAAAGAGAGAGAGAGAGAGAGATAGAGAACTCGTTTTTGTTGCTGCTGCTGTTGTTTGGTTGTTTGTTTGTGTTGGTATGGTTTCTTATTATTACTCTTATTATTCGGTTCTTTACTTGTAGATACACGCGCACAAACATATATACAAACATACAAACATACATTCATACAAACATACATACAATTAAACATGCATACGTGTGTATAATTGTCTATATACATGTATGCATATATATATATATATATATATGTTTGTGTGCATGTATATACACACCTATGCACGTATGTGTGTAAATCTATGTACATATATATATATATATATATACATTGGAGTAGGCGGGGGGGGAGCTGGCGGCTGCCTGTACCCCCCATGGGCGCCCCGGGGGGTTCTGGGGGTCCCAGAGCTCCCGAGACGGCCCCGGCCCGCCCCGAAACAGGCCACGACAAGCTAAGGGGATTCCAAGAGGACCCTAGACGGCCCCAAGAGGCCGCGAAGACGCCCAATATGCTTTCAAGACGGCCGACGAGGGCTCTAATGCGCCCCAGGACGGACGCAAGAGGCTCCCCGAGAGGACCCTGGGAGGCAAAATTCATTCAATATCCGCGGGTTTTGGAAGGATTTTTGCGTTCTCGCTTTTCCCGCTTCCCAGCGCTCCCTCACGGCCTCGGAGGCCTTCAGATCGCTCCAAGACGGCCCACGATGCCCCGAAGAGGGCCGCAGCTCCCCAGACAACCCAAATGTGACCGAAGAGCGCCCCAAGAGGAGTCCCATAGGGGGGCCACGAACCGATATTTCGAGGTCTCTGGCCCTAGAGGCCTCCAGCAGGCCCCCGGAGGCCACCAAGAGGCTCCCACGAACCCCCATGAGGCCCCCCAAAGGCTCCCAGGAAGCCCCAAGAAGGCCCCAAAGGGCCCCCAGGGAACGTCCAAGAGGCCCCCCAACACACCCCAACAAATCATGTCCCCAGAAAGCCTTCCAGGGACATGGATCATCATGGGCCCGAAAGTCTCTGGAGGCTCCGAAGTACCATCGCGCTACTGGAGAGCTGTCTGGGAAGCTAATTGGGAACATTACTGATCGCCTTCTGACGGCCCTCCACAGATCGTTTCGCGCAAACTTGCCCCAAGTGCCCTCTTAAACCGACGACGACGACGACACGACGAAGACGAAAACGACGACGACGACGACGACGACGACGACGACGACGACGACGACGACGACGACGACGACGACGACGACGACGACGACGACGACGACGACGACGACGACGACGACGACGACGACGACGACGACGGCTCGCCCCAAGAGGCGACGACGACATTACGACGATGACGGCACGCCCCAACAGGCTCCCCAAGACGCCCCAAAACCCATGTTTTCAGAAGGCCTTCTGGGAACCCGATTCAACAGGCCTCCGCCCCCCTACGCAACCATCTTCTCCGAAAGCCTTCCGGAATGCGGATTGACATGCATGGACTTCTTTTTGCCCATATTGAGTTCAGTGTTATGGGCACTTCTTCACTTCCCGTTCAAACCATGTGTGGTCCTTTACTTCAGTGGAGCAGTGAACTCGTCAAGACCTGCGGCCTGCTAGAACCTGAGCGCGTGCGAAGCGCGCGATGGTTGTATAATATATCTCATATACGTATATATACACATATACATGTATACAGGCATGTCTATATACACCGGGAGAGAGAGAGAGAGAGAGAGAGAGAGAGAGAGAGAGTGAGAGAAAGAGAAAGAGTGAGAGAGGTAGAGAAAAAGGAAGAGCGAGAGGGAGAGAGAGAGAGAGAGGTAGATGGATGGGGCAGGAGGATTACGAGGTAGGTGCGGATGAGAAGGGGGAAGTGGGAGAATCAGGGCAGCGGCCAGGTTCCAAGACATGAAGCTCTCCGAGGACCTGATGAAGCAGTGCCCTTCTACGTGCTCGACTCCTTCTCACCCGTTCCTGTCATTATTTTCCTTCCCTTCGCCTCTTTCCCTCTTCACTTACCTCTCCTCCAATCTCTTCCCTTCCTCGGCCCCGCCTCTTGCCTATACCTTTCATTCCTTCGTGCCGCTGGTGTAGTATGCCTGGAGGGGATGGATTTTTGAAGCGAAGAAAGAGTGAGAGTGGCTGGAGAAGGGAAAGAGCAGAAATGCGGGAGGGTGGCACGATGAGGAATCAAAAAGGGATGAGAGATGGGGGTGAGGCGGAGGAGGAGGAGGAGGTGACGCGGGGCGCTGTCTCGTCAAAAAGAGGACCCGGGACCACAGGATGGTTGGGAAAAAGAGGAGGGTGCCGCACGGCTTAATCGAAAAGACAAGTGACGCCGGGAGAGCCTACGTCCACACAGACTCCGTTTAGCTCGGGGTGTTTGCCAGCCGTAATTTGGTTCCAGCAGTTCTGGGAGCTACGTCATTGTGCGGGGGTCCTGTACACTTCTGGCTGAGGTATCCCACATAGCCACAGTAGAAACACGCCGAACACTTCAGGCAGATGCATATCACACCTCCGTGCGAGCAAAACAGAGCAACGCACTTAGGGCCAAAGGTCCATCAACTGCGAGTCATAGAGCTTATGCGTCTTCGAACAAACACAGAGACTGTTGGGAGGCCAAGTGGAACGAGTCACACGCAACCGCTGCTTGAATTGCTAGTAGTTCTCCATTCATCTCCAGGCGTGACGCACGTTGGGGACGGGAGGGAGAGGCTCCACCTTCTTGAGCCTCGTGGCCTGTGGGAGATTACGGGCCTGAGGCCTGTGGCCTTCTTGAGTCTCGTGGCCTGTGGGGAACCTCTTGGCCGCAAGACGGCAGTTCTTCGCGAGAGGTGGCGATCATTTTGCCCAGCCGCACTTCTTGCTCGGGGCTCGGCTGCTCGTGCGCTGGGGCCCCTTGCTGAGCGTAGGGATCGGCTAAATCTTTTCCACCCCAAGGAAATTGTTCGGTCGCAAATCATGGAAGCCTTGTGTACCTTTGTAACTCTGTATTTCGGATGCACTCGCGTCGTTTAGCGTCTGGTAGTCGATGAGATCGCGCCTTTTTAGCGTGGACTAGCGTCATCCAGCGTCGATCAGCGTCGATTTAGTGTCGTTTAGCGTCGATTTGTAAGAGCCAGCAAAGTGGTATAGAGGCTCCCATGCGTTGTCACAGAGAATTTGCAGGAGCATGGGGAGGGGGAGGATAAAAGGAGGGATCGGCCACACGCAGAAGGGGGGTAGGGAGGGGGGGAAGGCTTCTTAGAAGCACCCCTGCTTCTTAGAAGGCGCGGGCCTTGTCTGTAAATGTAAGGCCCGCGTCTGCTAGGAAGCAGCCTCCTAAGAAGCTTTCCCCCCTCCCCCTACCCTCGTGTGCGCGCCGCCAAAGGAAGGACGGACGGTGCGGCGAGGTACAAGAGCGCCTCCGCCAGCGGCTCCGCGGGGCCCTCCCAGCAGCGGGCGCGCGGCTCCGCGGCGGGAGCTGCAGCGGGCGCGCCACGCCGCCACGCCGCCCCCGCGCACGCGTGCCCGCGCGACGTCGCCGCCGCGCCGCCCCAGCCGCCGCCGCGCGCGCGCGGGGAACTCAGGGAGGCTTCGATAATTACACAATATGAATACTACTCTCCTCTCTCCCCTGATGACGTCCGGAAGGTATCCGGCCCCTCTCCGCGTACTGTTTTTTACACAGGATTCCCGGGAAATTGGCTTTCGCTTGGGTTTGGGTTGTTCAAAATGTTGCTCCCGCTGAAGTGCTGGCTTCATTTCTGCGCCTCTGGTTGTTCCAAATCGTGCTCCCGCTGCAGCGCGGGCGTTTTCGGTCCGTCCAGTTAGGCCCCAAAAGCTAGAAAATGCCCCCGCGAACAAGAACATCGGAAGTGATTACAAATTCGGTGTCGATTCGTTGATTTTTGGGGGCGCTTCGGGGCGCAAGCGGGAACCCCGTTTCTGCTTTGAGAAGGCGATGTTGGAAGCAGAGCCAGTGGGTGCTCTCTATCAGCCTCGCCTTGGGTGGAGCTTTTCGGGGAGCCCCAGGAGCTAGACATGGAGCCACGACTCCAGACCGGCCCAGACCTCTCGAAGTCGAGCTTCTGACCCTCCAAGGGACCCAGCGCCATGCCATGACATGCTGTGCGGTGTTGCGTTCTGCGCCAGTGTGCGATGCCATGCCTTGCGTTGCAATGCTTTGTGATGCAATGCTTCACTGTGCAATGCCACGCCATGCTATGACATGCTACGATCTGCCGTGCTCTTCTACGCCATGTCATGTCGTGCTCTACCCAGCATCGTGTACATTGATTGCCTTTTTCGACATCCGACTGTACGAATAGAGAGGATATCTACGCCATGGTAAGGGAGAGGGAGGTGTGTGCCGTCAGACATGTCGCGAGCGCACCTAGCTTGCCCTCCTCCCTTCCCCTCCCCCTCCTCCGCCGCCTCCTCCTCCTCCCTCTCTTCCCCCGCCTTCTCCTCCTCGTGTTCCGCCTCGTTCTCCTCCTCCCTCCTCCCCCTCCGCCCCGCCGCCCCAGAGCTGCCTGGCCTGCTCCGCCAGGGTTCTCGGGGCCTGACAGCTCGGGCTGGTCCTAGTTGCTCGGCGCTGGGGCTCCAGGTTCTCCTGGGTTCCCTGGCTCGTCCTGTGCCGGGCGCGGCGCTTCGGCTAGGACGGCCGACATGGCAAACGATCGGTCGGCACATCCTTCCTCTTCCTCTTCGTCCTGCGCCTGATCGTGATCATCTTTGGATTTCTCATCCATTTCCTGCTCTTCTTTCTCCGTTTCCCCATCTTTGTCTTTCCCCTCTCTTGCCGTTATCTCTCCTGGTCTTGCTGCTCTTGTCCTTCCGCTGCTCATCATATCCCCTCCTACTTCTCCTTCTTATCCTGCTGCTGCTCCTTCTCCTTGCTTTCCATATTTCCTCATGCCACTGCCTTCCTGCTGCTCCTGCTCCTGCTCCTCCTTTCCCCTTCCTCTTGTCACCTCCTCCCTTCTCCTGCTCCTGCTCCTACCTCTTCCGCTCCTCACCTCGTCCCCCCTCCCTCCCGTGGGCCCGCGAGGAACTTTGGATCCTCGCCTGACAGGGGCATATCAAACGCCCACTCTCATTAGCAGTCTCCATCTGGCGGCCAATTTCGTATGGAGTGTTGGAGACAGTACGAGGGTGTCGAGCAACCCTGTTTTTTTGGATTGGGTACCCTTCTGTTCTTGTTAGGGCTCTCCACAGTGGAGTGCTCTTCGTTTCTTGTGTCTCCACGTGGCCTTTGACCTACGGCCTCGGGGCTTTATGTTCTTAATCCGCCCAGGGGACCCCAAACGGCACACGCCATAGCTTTCGGAGGTCCGTGCACGCCTGGCCCGTTGTCCAGGCGGCCTCATTGCAGAAAAATCTTGCATACTATGTCATCTGAGTGTTTTTCTGGTGCGGGATAGGGAACTGTTGGTGGTCATTCCGCCGTCGGGATCTTGGGGGGCCTGATGCCACGAAGGAGCCCGATAAGGCTCTGGAGCATCCGCGGTGGTGTGAATGGACCGCGCAGGAAGGAGGTCAATGTTTGAGGGCATTTCAAACAAGAAGGGACCTCGTGCATCACATGCGTAGGCTTCGCAAGGCACACAAGTTATGTTCAGAGGTTACGCCTGCAAATGCATTTGTGGCGTCCCAAACCTGGATAGCGATGCGCTCTAAAGCGCGTGACATGCTTGTGGGAGACGCTTGCAAGTACGCTGGAAAGCATGCTTCGGGAGCTTGCAAGCTCGGGATATGAGCCTCGCAGGAGCTTCCAAGGAGCTTCGAAGGACCTGCGGAACAAGCCGCTCCGGGGATGCCCGCTTGGCGCCGGAAAGAACTATCCGGGAAGTATATGAAGGAGAGTACTCGCATGTCGGTCTACGCTTACAGGCACACCCATAGGGCCTTCATGAGTGGAAGCTGTTTGTCCAGCGGTTCGACGATGTTCTCAGGAGGCGAGCCGCCGTCCTCATCGGATAGTAGAATATGCGAGAACTACGCCAGCGCTGGTAACGACCTCTGCAGCCACTGGCCACGAACTATTTCCCAGTCGAGGTGGGCCCTTCATTGCCAGCAGAAGCGGACACACCATCTCGGCCGTCTACTGCGCGCCAGGAGCACGTTGGCGGCGGCGGCAGCGGCAGTGGCGATAGAGGAGGACACGACAAGGGGTTAGAATCTTGAAGGGCCAGCGTGGGTGACAGCCCCCGTTGCCGCCCCAACGTCAAAGGCAGCTCGGATTGGGGGCCGTCTACTGCGACTACGACATGAGTTCGGACAACGATATCGCAGCTTGCATGGAGAATGCAGGCCAGGACTATAGCGACACTTCCCTGATGTTGAAGGAGCGACGTAATATAAAATAGCAAGTGGGTTTCCCGACTGGAGGGCCACCATGCGTACAGATCTCCATGGCGACGATGTTGTGGGCGGCCCAGAAAGCAGCGGAGGCGAAACCAGAGAACTTGATGATTTCGTTGAGGCGGCTTTGGGTAGAGAAGCTACCGAGTATCACGGTCGTGGAGACGGTTTCTCTGGCCTTGCAGTGGCAGTGGAAGGAGAATCCAGGAAAGGAGAGTGTTCGAGAAGCAAGACCGAGGCAGGATCATCAACACCATGAGCACGGTGCACCCGATGGTGCTTGTGCTGGTCGAGATGGCAAGGCGCATGCCGAAGTGGGCCCAGGCAGAGGGGCGCCACGTGGCCCTCTGGAGCAGGATGCAAACAATCATCTGGCAGAGATGATGGCAGGCAAGTGGATAATGTGAGACCAGTGGCAGCGGCCTGTTGTAGCCAGGCGACGGAATTTCCATGCCAATTCTCCGTGCGATTTCGGGGGCCAGCAGCGTGTGCGGGGAAGTTCGAGGTTGGTCGCCTTAGCGCAAGCGGGTGTGTTACCAACTCAGTTTCTGGGCCCGAGGATCTCAGTGCCCGCAGCGCACGCCCCAGAAGCTTCCACCGGCCCGATTATTCAGATGGAAGGGGGGCCTTCGAGGCGCAGCGGCAGAAGCAAAGGCGGGTTTCGGAGGGCTGAGGGTCAGTAGCACATCCGCTGGCCCACGGACGTGGGCCCCCCAAAGGCTGCGCGCCGCCCAGGGGGTGCTCGCAGGGGGCGGCGCGGCGTCCGTCGCGAGTCACGGGCCGCATCTGACGGTCTGGCAGTCTCGCCCCCCGAAGTCCCTCCAGCGGTGTTCTTGGTAGGCAGTGGCTTGCAGGGGAGTGGCGGCAGCTTGCGAATTCCATGGGCCTGATCCCGATCCTCTCTCTTGCTCCTCCTCGTTGTCGTCGTCGTCCTCCTCCTCCTCCTGCTCCTCCTCCTCCTCCTCCTCCTCCTCCTCCTCCTCCCCCCTTCTCCTCCTTCTCCATCACCCGTATCCATCTTCTACCTCCCCCCCCCCGCCCTCGCTCAAATGGGGTGCTCTGACGCCGCTTAGCTCGAGCGCCAGCGCCTGGCAAACTTGCGTTGGTGAGCTGCGAAGCCCTCGTTCAACGCACGATTGCCGCAATGATTTCTTTCTTTGAGCTTTAACGCCCCCGCAATGCCAGTTGGCGGCGGCGCTGGGGGCGATCCCGGCGCGCGATCCACGGGGCGTGCGCAGGGTGATGTGGGCGCGCGTTCGCGCTTTCCCCCGCCGCCGCATTGGCGCCGCTCTCCAATCCCTGATCAGCTTGTGCTTATGGCTGCTCTCCGTGCTGAGGGCAAGCCGCCCCGGGCGACCACGGGCCAGCGACGGTGTTCGAGTCTCTTTGAGGATCCGGCTGCGAGGGCGAAGGCCGCAGGCGGCGCGACGTGGAGCGACCCGCGCGCGAGGGCGCTGCGACGTTCCCGCGACCCATCGCGCCCTGCAGGCACCGGCAGCAGCTTCGCGTCGGGCGCGACGGCGAGGTCTGATGCTGGCTTTCCTCGCGAGCGCGTCGCGCCGCTCGAGTGGGGCGAGGTCTGCTAGTATTTCGAAAGGTGAAATCTACGGGCGCGACCCTGGACGCGGGCCTGCAAGGGCTGCTCCTGCCAGGAGGAGGCGACGTCCATATCCAATGGCCAGCGGGCTCCGTCCGCGTCTCACTGCGCATGGCTCCGAGCGGAATGCTTGCGATGGTCGTCGGCGACGTCGAGGGGGCCGCGCAGGCGCCGGGCGGCGCGCCCGACCGCGGCGCGCGACTTCGCGCTCGCGCCGATAAGGCGGAGACGGAGACAGAGGACGCGACGCCGGAGCCTGCCGCCACCTCCCAGGAGGCCGTGCAGCGGTCGGCCCTCGGCTCTCAATGAGTTGAAGACCCCTCAGGGGGCGCCCTGGCTCATCTTGCCCGGGCGCATTGGTGATGGGCGCCTTCGGTCGACTGGGCTCTTGAGGGGCGTGGGCGGCGGATGTCAGCGCTCCATCCCGCGAGCGTTCCCTTTCCGCGTGTTTTCGCTCGCCGCGCGTGGCCGCAGCTGGTTCGGACCATGGTGCCGCCTCGCCGCGTCTACCAAGAAAATCATTGTAGTCGCGCCCGAGAGGAACTGCATCAGTCATTGCTTGCGCGTCGGAGGTGTGGCGCGCCTTGCGCCGCCGTGGGCCTGGCGGGGCGGCGGGGCCGCGCGGTGGGCGTGGCCCCGGGCCCGGCAGTGGGCGTGGCATTTCTCGCGATCAGATTCTGCCGACAGGGGCTCGCGCCAGGCCCCGGCGACACATCGCTCGCCAGGGCGGCGTTCCACATCGACGCGGCGATTGATCGGGGACTGGCCTGATGCGCGCATGCTCTCGAGGCTTCGTCCACAGGGCCCCCCGGCATTGGACTGTCGGCTGCCCCTCGCCCGCGGGTGCTGCGCCCAAATTCCGGGCGGAGAGGGTCAAGGGGAAGGTAATTTCACTGCCGCGCGCGACTGGTCATGCTTTCTGGCGTTGCCCGAGCAGTGTCTGCTGCTCAGGTGGCGTCGACCCCCGCCGCGCTGAGCCCGGGGCTTTTGATCGGCCCGGCAATCGCGGTTCCAACGGGTTTCGTCGCGATGGCAACGAGATTCGCGCGGCAGCGACGGCAATTGCACTGCGTTGAAGAACGTCCGACACCGGCAATGACGCGGTGGGAGGTTACTGGATCTCCAACGTCAGCGAGAGAACCGCGACGCGTGCTCGCGCGCTGCTCAATGTCTTTCAACGCCGGGCGAGACTTCTTGCCATGTGCCCCTTCAACCCTTTGACCGGCGGCCGAGGGACTTGAACCGGCCCCCGGCGGGGGCCGGTCGCCGACGCGTCGAATTGGAGACAGGGGCCCATCGTACCTGAGGCCCCGTGAGGTCCTGCCTCGCGAGTGGACAGGCTGACCCGCATTCCGCGTTCACGAGATTTCCCTTGGAGGAGGCAGAGCGGGCCGAGGAACGCGGGGGGCGATTCAATTTGCCGGTCAAGCGTCGAAAAGACTTGGAAGTCGTCTTCGACGACATCGGTGGCGACCTCTTTGGTCTTGGGGCGGAGGAAGAGCTCACCCGGCTGTTCGAGGATGCGAGTGTTGAAAGCGCCGGTGGGCTCCCAACTGGCGAGCACTTTCTTTAGCGGCAGGGGCTATCGTTGGTCATTGTGTCTTGCGTTTCCAACGTCCGCATTCCAGGCGTCAACCTTAGAGCGTGCTCTGGCCGCGGTCCGAGCCGCGGGGCCGGGCGCGGACTTCAGTGCGCCGTGCGGCGGTGAAGCCTGCGCCTCGCAGAGATCGCCTTTCGACGACAGTTCGATGCTAGCGAGAATTTCGATTTGGTTTCCGGCTGTGATCTTGGCGACCCCGCGGTCTAACAGTACTTTCAACGACGCCTCAGGTCTAACGACGCACTGGTAGTGGCCGCGGCGCCACCCTTCCGCGGCGCTGGTCCGCCGGGCGGCCTCGACAATTGCATCGACCACGCGGCCTGGCGGATGCGTTGCGTGGGATTTGCGCCGCGCGTCGCCTTCTGCGCGTAAGTTGCGATGGCGCAGATATGTGTGGGGCGATGCTGCTTGGTTGAGCCGCCTAGCCCTGCGAGGCTCAGCGCAGTGCCTCCGTGGGAACAGGTGTCCGCGCATCCTCGCGTAGATTCGGTTGTGTTTGGTCAATGTTGTCTTGGGTTAAGAAGCCCAGCGGGCCTCCCGGCCAAGAAGCCGCGGCGAGACATCGTCAATTCGCCGCATCTGCTCGCGCCCTTCAGGAATCTGAGGCGCAGCGGAAACCAGGGCCACGACGTAAGCTGGGGGCGCAGCTTGCGCGCCTAGGCGCTGCGGGTCTGGCCCCGGCGCCTAGCTGAGCGCGTGGTGCACGGCGGCGTCGCGCTCGGAGCTGCGGCGGGAATCTCAGTCGCCCTGTTGACCAGGCTCTATTCAGCTTCTGGGCCACAGGAGCGCGAATCTGCCCGGGGGCTCGGCAGGAGCTTGAACGCCTGGAAGGAGCCGGATCACCGCCGGCACCGGCGTCGGCACCAGCGCCAGCAGCCGCGCCAATTTGCGGGGAAGTCTCGAGCCCGACTGAAAGCGACTGGGGCCCCGACGCGGGCATCGGGCGCGCGAATATCCGTTGCCGCGCCAGCTGCCCAGCAAGCTGCCAACGCACTGTGTATACAATGATGCGCAGAATGTCCTGGCTGCCGCGGGAATCGCAGCAGCCCGGGCCCGCGTCGGATCGAGGTCCCCGGAAGGCGCGCAACTCCACCAGGCGTCGAATCGAGCGCGTGCCCAGGATGCGCACGCGACCCGCCGCGAGACGCAGCGCGCCCTGGCCGCGCTGGGCTGCCGTGAGAGCGGCGCTGGTTCAACGAAGCATGCAGGGTTGTCCAAGAGCACCGCGCGGGCCAGAGCTGATCGTTTGCCCCCGGTGCACGTGTGCAGCAGTCTGGAGATCCCGTAGCAGAAGTTCAGTTCTTGGATCACAGGTGAGTCCTGATGCCGATGGGCCGCCCCCTGATCGAAGCCCCTTCGACCGCCCGGCTCCGGGGGCTCTCGCGCGGGGCGACTTCTTCGACGACGGCGAGCCGCCGCCACCTTGTCCCCGCAGAGCCCTGGGCCGCAAGGACCCCTCGCCCACGACCGCGTGTCGTGGGCGCTGCAGCGGGCCACGCGCCAGAGAATTGGGCGTGCTTCGACGCCGCTCAGAGTTGGCGCATGTTGCGAGCTGGCGATGCATCGCGGACGCGGCGCGAGATGCGCAAACTCCGCATGCAGTGGTGGCGCGCTGCGCGGACTCAAATGGAACCGATTTTGACGGCAGCCCGGTGCCCGAGCACCGTCATGCAGGTGGTCGCTAGCGCGATGGACACACGCCGCGAATGCCGGACCTGGCTGAGCAACGGTCGAGCTGGTCATGGCTCCCGACCAAGAAGTAGCAGGGGGTAGTCTCATCTATCGCCAATACCCGATGTGGCACATGATCGACCGAGCCGATCGGTGGCACGTCGCGCGTCTGCTCGAGGGGGATTCCAGCGACTCTGGGCATCGGTCCTCTGAGCGCCTGTGCTCTGCCATTCTCTCATGTTGGATCTCGATCTTCGGGCGATTCAGAAATTCAGACGCCCAACAGTAACGTCGCCGCATATATGCTCGACGATTTATGGACTTCGGTGGATGGATATATGACGTCGCAAGTCAACGAGCGACGCCCCGCGGTCCGGCATGGATGGTGGTTGACCAGTATCTTACTAGCCTAGTCGCGAAGACGCTTAAACGTTTTAGCCTTGCCGACGTCCGCGCGGTCGCCGCCGTCGCTGCGACCCAGCGCCAGGTGGCCTTTGACTTCCAGTGCTTAAACAGGAACGTCTGCAACCTCATCAGTGTTGCGGTCATCCAAGTGCTGGGCCGCAGCGTGACCGAGGAGAGTCGCGATGGATCGCCCTTGGTTTGGTGGGGGCCATACCGACGAGAAGTAGAGACCTGGTGGAGCTCCGAGGCCGGTAGATCGAGCCTCGTTGTGCTTTTTGGTCCCGGGCGCAGCAAGATTTGCTATCTCTTGTTTATATTAGGTAAGGTAGGTGGACGCTGCTGTGGAGATCCCGTGGAAGATGAGCTCAAGGTGGCAGACGCCAGCGATCATTCTGAAGCCGGCGTCCGCCCGGGCGAATCCGCTCACGACGAGGGGGGCCCGTCCACCGTCGACGAGGAATTCCGCGAGGGCTCCTTGAGCTACCAACGCTTGGTCGAGGCCGCGTGGTAGGCCTCCTTAATGCACGACCAACAGACAGTCATGCAGATTGTGTTTTCCGCAGGTTCAGTTGCGTTGAACGAAATATTGGAGGCGGAACCTCAACCGGCTCTTCTACATCCGCCGCCGCGCGCCATTTCCACATGTCTGTCAGCATCGACGCTGCCTCGCATTGGATGCTGAACCTTCTTCCGCGGCAGAGGCCATCGAGGTCGACGAGAATGGAAATTCTGACGTCGAAATGCTCGCCCCGGATGAGCAGCGCAAATCTGTTTTCGACCATCCAGTCCCAGACGCTTTGCGTGCGCGCCTCCAGGTTTGCATGGCTGGAAGCAAGAGCGCTGTCGTCGAGCGTGACGCCGTCCCACTCGCCCCCGATGAGTTCCGAGAGTACGCAGCCGCAGCCGCAGCCGTGGCGCTCGAGGGGCGGCGAGCGCGGGTGGATCGCAACTGCTTCTCGTGGCGCCCCCGCCGAGGTGTGCGCGACTTCCTTGTTTGCAGGTGGGCAGGCAAGTGGAAGTGCGCAGAAGGTGCGGGCCATCCGCATGAGGCTGTCGCTCGCGCGCTTCAAGGACGTCGACGCATATCTCATCGCCACATGCGCCGGCACCTCATCGCGACTCACAGCGAGTGATGGTTTTCGAGGAAGCCTGCCGAGGATGGGCGACCGACGCGCGGGGCGCCAGGAAAGCCTTCTTGAAAGGAGTCAGCTATAAGGAACTCGCGGATGCCATGGGTAAGGGGGGGCGCGATGTCTCTTTCGGCCCCCCCCACCGATGCTGTCGCAGTCCCGCGCAAAGTAAGAGGGCGCGACAACTTTTGTCGAGCATTCGGCCTTCGCATGGAGAAGCTGGGCGCCGGGTGCAAAGATGCGCCGATATGCCGGTCCATCCAACTCGCGAGGATTAATGTCCACGTGCGCCGATCCATCCCCGCGCTGTACGACAGCGTGTTTATCGCCAAACATGCAGATGGTCGCCCTGCTGGCCACCAGGAAAGTTGATGATGTCAGCGTAGCGGGGCTGCCTCATGCGAATGCCTTGTTGCGTAAATGATTCGAGGATGCCTTTGGTCAGTGTGGGCCAGACATCAGCGTCGGGACCTTTGCGCGCTGCGGGGCGCGCCGTTCATCCACGCACAACGGTGAATATTTGCTGGGCCAGATCGACTGCATCCAGGAATATAGTATTGATGGGTAGTGGCGAGCTTTTTCCCGATTTTGCCTTGGCTTCCGATGATCTGGCCAAGTTGAGCCCTGACCTGCTCGTGGCCCGCCTTGTCCTTCGCCCTCGTCGCGCGGATGGGCCTGCGCGTCTATGCGGTAGCACTGGCAGTTCCGACGCGCGGCCGCGATGCGCGTTCAATGCCTCTCCGGCGTGCTCCTGTGAGATGTGCTCAGGCCACGCCGCTGAGAATCCAGCAGCCTCTCGCGTTGCACATCGAATTTTGCCGGGGATCCGCGGGCGCGGTCGCAACCGTCGCGGCTGCCAGGCCCATGCCCCCGGCAGAGCACTCGCTGTTGCCAGCCGTGGTCGGGCTATGAGACTTCCCGTGCTCGGGCCACCTGCGGGCTGCGGGGCTCCCCGTGCTGCGGGACTTTCTGTGGTCGGGCTGCGGGGCTTCCTGGAGAGACGCGCGCCCCGTGGTGATCATAGGGGGCATCGACAGATCTGCTCTCCACGACATAGCTGGTGGCTCCCGCCATCGTTCGCGTGCGCTGGAGCGCCAGCGGGCGCCTGGCAAAGGGCGAGTTTGGCGCAGCAGGATGCAGATATCGCGTGCCTTTGCATGTGTGTGTGGGTGCGTGTGCGCGTGCGCGTGCGTGTGCGCGTGTGTGTGTGTGTGTGTGTGTGAGAGTGTGTGTGTGTGTGTGTGAGAGTGTGTGTGTGTGTGTGTGTGTGTGTGTGTGTGTGTGTGTGTGTGTGTGTGTGTGTGTGTGTGTGTGTGTGTGTGTGTGTGTGTGTGTGTGTGTGTGTGTGTGTGTGTGTGTGTGTGTGTGTGTGTGTGCGTGCGTAATCGGGGTGCATGCTACCATCCCGGATCGGCGGAGTGAGAGGGGTGGATCCGCCGCTGTTTTTCTTGATTACAGGCTCGCGCGCCGGCCGGCCGGCTTCGGCGCGCGGGGCCCCGCCGCCTGGCTCGCGCGCCGGCGAGCCTGTGCGCGCGAGCCCGACGCGCCCCTCCGCGTGCTAGCGGCCTCCCGGCGCCGCGCGCGTCGGCCGCGCGTCGAGGGGGGGGCCCGTCGGCCTCCGCTTTCTCCGGCGCGGCAGCAGGTGGGGGATCCGACGGCGTCGGTATCCCTTGCGGAAGTGACATCCACAGATGAAGCGCCCGTTGCATCCAGGGGCCGCTCAGCGCTTCGCGAGCGCGCGCGGCCCGCGACCCCCCCGTCTGGCCATGCGAAGGGATAGTCGCCAATTATGGCGCGGCCGCCATGGGTGCCGCCCGCGCCGCTGCCGCCGCTGCCGCGAGCACGACGGCGTTTGCAGGAGACAGAGGAGACAGTCCGGTTGCGCGGCCAGAGGACTATCGCAGGACAGCTGCTCCCGCAGGGCCGGCTGCGGCTCGAGCCGCCCGGTCGCGCTGTCGCCCTCCATCGCCCGCTCGCCGTCGTCGCCGCTCGCCCGCCGCGTCTGGCCCCGCGCGCCCTCGCATGGCCCCGGCCAGCCAGGCTGCGCGCGTTGCGCGCCCAGTGGCACCTCCTTCTCCCGAGGCGCCACCCGCGGCGTTGGGTGAGGGCGCGGGGGGGAGCGCAGTGTGGTTCTCCTTCGCCGCAGCCAGTGTGCAGGGGAGCTGAACGCTGTGCGCGCCGTCCTCAGGGGCTGGCGCATCCGCGACGCCGCCCCGGATTGGGCGGCGTGGAAGCGCCTTTTCAGCGGCGCGGTCATGGGGCCGATGGTGCGCTCAGCCTTCGCCCGGGAGGCTTGTCGCGCAGCGGGGCGGGTGACCGACGCGAGGCCTGCTTTCGTCAGCGAGTTCATCCGGGCGAGGATGGTGCGGTTCAACGCGAGGTTGTTCCAGGCTTGGTCGTCGTGGCCACCTCAGTAACGTCTCGAGTGCATCGGGCAGTGGCGCTTGGTCGACCTTGGCAGTTGGCCGGGCCGCGGCCGGGGGCACTCCTCCCTGCGGGCGGGGCTCTTGAGGGGCTGCCCGCCAGCCGGGGCGGCCCGCGGAATCCCGTCCCGATGTCGCCGCGCAGGTCGAGCGCGTGCTGGCCGCGCCCCCGCGCCCCTCGTCGCAGGGGCCCCCGTCGATTCCGCCCCGGCAGCGCTGGGGCGATGGGGGTGGCTCGCAGCGGCGACGCAGCAGGCGGCTCAGGATGGCGACCATCTCTGCCGCCACCGTGCTGGCGGCGCACTGGCAGCAGGGCGCCGATCGGTTCGCGTGGGCGCGCGGCAGTCGTGTCGGGCAAGGGCAAGGACAGTGCCAATGACAGTCTCAAGGGAAATCAAGCCCGACGGCGACAATCCCAACTAGGAGGCGCGCCGCGGTGGCGAGAAGGCCAAGCGTCGGTGAGCTGCCGCCGCTACGGCGCTCGCAGCAGCCGACGGTGACGACCGCAAGTCTTCGCCGGGCGGTGCCGCTCCGTGCGCGCCCAGAACGGAGGCGAGGATGCAGCGAGGCCGCATGAGTTCCCAGCCTCAGAGCGACAGCCCGAGGCGATCGTGCAAAAAGGAGTTGCGCATCCCTCATGGTCATCCTCCTTCCCTCACCTTTTCCATCCTGCCAAGTCTAGGCGTCGTTGCACCTCGACCTCGCCTCCCCCCACGTGGCCCTGGGCCACCCACCGTGCCTGATTCTCACGACAGGCTTTTGCATTTTTGGTCTGCGGCCCAGCGGTCACCTTTACCAAACACGGGCAGAAAATTGCCGAACTCGCGCCACTACTCGTGTGTGCTCCTCCTGTGCCGCCCGTGGGAGCGCGAGCGAGCTCCCCGACAGTGGGCGAGTTCGCCTCCTGCCGTGCCGCGCGCACTCAGGCCAGACAGAGATGGGGTATCCCTGCTGAGGTTAGAGTGTTCTTGGGGTTGGACAGTAATGGTTCCGTTCGTGCGTCTTCGCCAGGGCTGTTCGATCGTCCGCGCAATCCCGACTCACCTCGGATACTTTGCCGCCGTTCGGCCTCAGCGCCGGCGCGTACTAAACGTGTATTGATGGGTTGGAACGCCCGCGTTCTACATCTTATCGCCGCAGTGTTTTCTTTCGCCAAGCTTCCAACCCCCGCAATTCTAGCCCGCCTTTCTCCTTCCCCTCCTCCGTCCTCCGTCCCCTTTCCCTCCTCCTTCCTTCCCTCCTCCAGCCCTCCGTCCTCCTTCCGCCCCCTCCGTCGCGCCCGAGGCAGCCTGGCGCCGCCCACCGCCGCGGCTGGGGGCATCGAGCTCAAGGCGGCCTCCCAGCTCGCCCCACCCCCGCTAAGGGTCGCGTCGCGCGACCGCCCGCGCCAGGCAAATGCGGAGAAGAGTACGGTTTCTCCCCATCGTCCTCCTCGTCCTCTTCCGCCCCCTCGTCCTCCTACCCTGCATCCGTTTTGTCCTCCCCGCCCCCCTCGTCCCCCTTGTTGTCTTCGTTCCCCTCGTCCTCCCCATCCCTCTTTTCGTTCCCCTCGTTCTCCTCCTCCGCCTCCCTCCTGCCGCGCCAGGTCTCGGTGCTGACCTCGGGGTTCTGGCCCGGGCCGCCCGGGGCGCCTTGCGAGATGCCGCCGGAGGTGCAGGATGGCACCCGTCGGCAGCCGCCGCCGTCGCCGTCGCCGCTGCCGTCGCCATCGCCGTCGCCGTGTTCGGTGTGTTCGTCGTCGTCGTCGTCGGCGGCAGCGGCGGCGGCGGCGGCCATGGTCGCGTGGTCCTTCTGAAGGTTGGGGCGGCCCAGGAACTGCCAGCCAGGCCTTCGGGGCAAACAAATACCAGCAGGTCCGGGCTCGGCGCACTTCTCGTGTTCTCTCGGCCCTTTTAGGTTGCTTTCTCCGGTCAGCCGACCGCAATGGAGGAGGGAGGAGTAGGTTTGTTGGGGACGGGCTTAAGGCCATGCAGTCGATGATGTCAGCCGGAATCGTCGGTACCCGAATCGGACTCGCCTTCTTGTCAGGCGATGCTCGGGTAGTGTCCACCCCCGAGCTTCCAGGGGAAGTCAGCCTCTTCGAGGCCGAACGACATCAAGACTTGGTCTCGCGAGGCGAAGCCCTGCGCGAACCCAACGAGTTGGGGGCCTGAAGCACCTTGAGGGTCCCGACCATCCTCGTCCAGCGTCTGAGCCATAATCTTACGTTCGGCGGGGTTCAGGCCCTCATGTGCCCCCAAGGTTAAACCTTTCAGGTCTTTCTTCATGATGGGAACTTGCCCAGCCGAATTCCGTTCAATTTGTCACTGATCCTGCCTGTAGTTGACTTGGGCCTGCACGGCCTTTTGGCCCCCGCATTCGGGGAGCCCGAAAAGAACGTGCCGCACTGACTGCAAAACTGACTCCTGTTGTTTAAGGGTCCGAGACGTTAGAAAACTGGGCAGGCCAAAACGGCATGGCCATTGCCCCGAAAAACTTGCCTCGATAACTTCATTTGGCAGACCGCCTGCACGCTTCTTGGGCCAGACTCTTGAGCGAGCTCCCTTTACAGGTGCGCGTCTTCATCCGAGATTCCGTGGCAATCGATACCTAATTTCACGTATCGAAGACGCTTTCGGCGAGTCACCGCCGCCCCCTGCCTTTTTGGAAACGCCTATGTGGCCGAACGTTGTGGCCAGAGGCCTGCCAAGCTATCGAACCATGTGTTCCCCGAATCGGTTTGGAAAGCGTTCGGGGAACACGGTGGGCGAGGCTGGGCCGACTTGGGCCTTTCTTGGGGTGCTCCAGGGCCGTCTTGGAGGCCATCTTGAGCGTCTTGGAGGCCCTTTGGGCCGTCTTGGGGGCCTCTTGGGGCCGTCTTGGGGGCCTCTTGGGCCGTTTTGGGGCCATACTGGAGACCTCTTGGGCGATCTTTGGGGGCTCTTGAGCTATCTCGGGCCGTCGGAAGGCAGAACAGAAGCACATGTAAACATCCTTCGAAAACCTACGGAACATCCGTGTTTTTGGCCTTGTCGGGCCTTCCTAGAGGCCTCTTGGAGGCCTCTTAGGCCGTCTTGGGCCATCTTAGGGCCATGTTCGGCCGTCTTGGTGGGCTCCTGGCCCGTCTGATGCCGTCGGAAGCCGTTTGGGGGGCCTCCCTGGGCCGACTTGGGGCCCTCCTGGAATGCCCCAGGGCCGTCTTGGAGGCCATCTTTGGCATCTTACAAGCCTCCTGGGCCGTCTTGGGGGCCGTCTTGGGGGCCTCTTGGGGCCGTCTTGGGGGCCTCCTGGGCCGTTCTGGGGCCATCCTGGATGCCTCTTGGGCGATCTTTGGGTGATCTTTGGGGGCTCTTGGGTCGTCTCGGGCCGTCGGATGGCCGAAAGGAAGCAAACGTCAAAATCCCTCAACAAGCTAAAGACAATCAATGTGTTTGGCCTCTTCTGGTCTTCCTGGAGGCCCTCTTGGAGGCCTCGTGGGCCGTCTTGGGCCAGCTTCGAGCCAATTTCGGCCATCTTGGTGGGCTCATGGCCCGTCTGACGCAGTCGGAAGCCGTTTGGAGGGCCTCTCTGGGCCGACTTGGGGCCCTCTTGGGGCGCTTCGGGGCTGTCTTGGAGGCCATCTTTGGCGTCTTGGAGGCCTCTTGGGCCGTCTTGGGGCCCTCTTGGGGCCGTCATTGGGGGCCTCCTGGGCCGTCATGGGGCCCTCTTAGAGGCCTCTTGGGCGATCTTGGGGCGACCTTGGGGGCCTCTTGGGCCGTCTTGGGCCGTCGGAATGCCGAAAAGGCGCAAATGCCCAAATCCTTCAAACACCTGAGGACAATCACTGATTTTGACCTCTGCGGGCCTTCCTGGAGGACCCCTTGGAGGCCTCTTGGGCCGTCTTGGAGGCCTCTTGCGGGCCTTTTGGGCCGTCTTAGACCATCTTGAGGCCATCTTGGGCCGTCTTGGAGGCATCTTGGGGCCATCTTAGCCGTCTTGGAAGCCATCTTGGGCCGTCTTGGAGACGTCTTGGAGACCATCCTGGGCCATCTTGGCCGTCTCGGACGTCATCTTGGGCGAACTGGAGGAAACATAGGCACGACGGACGCGTTTTGAGCGCCTTTCCGGGTGGCCGGCGGGACGGGCCGAAGCCCCAGGGGGAGTTCTTTTGGAAAAAGAGCCAAAACCAAACGCAATATTATTTGGCACGCCATGTACCCCTTTGATACATCAAGAGGGGGCGGCGGATCGAAGACGCCTATGGCGAATCACCGCCGCCCCCTGCCTTTTTGGAAGCGCCTATGTGGCCGAACGTTGAGGCCAGACCTGCCAAGCTATCGGACCATGTGTTCCCCGAATCGGTTCGGAAAGCCTTCGGGGAACACGTGGGCATCTTGAAGGTCATCTTGGCCGTCTGGAGGCCATTTTAACCCTTTCGGGTCGTCTTGGAGGACGTCTTGGAGGGCTCTTGGGCCGTCTTGGAGGCCATCTTGAGCGTCTTGGAGACCTCTTGGGCCGTCTTGAGGGCCTCTTGGGGCCGTGTCTTGGGCCTCTTGGGCGTTCTTTGGGGGCACTTGGGCCGTCTCGGGCCGTCGGAAGGCAGAAACAAATCAAATGCCAAAACCAATGGGAAATCAATAATTTTGGCCTTTTCGGGCCTTCCAGGAGGCCCTCTTGGAGGCCTCGTGGGCCGTCTTGGGCCATCTTAGGGCCATGTTCGGCCGCCTTGGTGGGCTCCTGGTCCGTCGGAAGCCGTTTGGGGGGCCTCCCTGGGCCGACTTGGGGCCCTCCTGGAATGCCCCAGGGCCGTCTTGGAGGCCCGTCTTGGGCGTCTTAAATGCCTCCTGTGCCGTCTTGGGGGCCTCTTGGGGCCGTCTTGGGGCCCTCTTGGGCCGTTCTGGGGCCATCTTGGAGGCCTCCTGGGCGATCTGTCGGCGATCTTCGGGGGCTCTTGGGCCGTCTCGGGCCGTCGGAAGGCTGAAAAGAAGCACATGTCAAAATCCATCAAATATCCCGGCAAAGCAACCTAACAGCGATGTGTATAAGCATGCCTGGAAGCATTCCCCTTAAGATTCAGGTGAACATCCAGTTGTAGAATTCTGCTGTTCTCGCAGTCGCAGTCGCATTCGCAATGACAGTCGCAGTGGCAACGGCCTTAGGATCCAATGGAATCCTAAGGATTCCTAGGGATTCCCAAGGCATCCCTAGGCATCCTTAGGAATCCATAGGAATCCTTAGGACACCTTAGGAATCCTTAGGAATCCTGATTCCTAGGGATTCCTATGGATTCCGAAGGATTCCTGAGGAATCCTAAGGATTCCAAAGGATTCCTGAGGATGCTTAACTATTCCTACGGATTCCTAAGGATGTCTACGGATTCCTAAGGATTCCTAAGGATTCCTATGGATTCCTACGGATGCCTCAGCCTGCCGCAGTTTCAGCCTCAGCCTCAGCCTGCCTCGGCTTGCCTCAGCCTCAGCCTCAGCCTGCCTCGGCCCCAGCCTCAGCCTGCCTGAGCCTCAGCCTCAGCCTGCCTCGGCCTCAGCCTGCGTTAGCCTCAGCCTCAGCCTGCCTCAGCCTCAGCCTGCCTCAGCCTGCCTCAGCCTCAGCCTCAGCCTCAGCCTCAGCCTCAGCCTCAGCCTCAGCCTGCCTCGGCTTGCCTCAGCCTCAGCCTCAGCCTGCCTCGGCCTCAGCCTGCCTCGGCCTCAGCCTGCCTCAGCCTCCCCTCCTCCCCCCCCCTTCCCCCCCCATTCAGCCTCACCTTGTCTCAGCTTCGGCCTGCCTCGGCCTCATCCTCAGCCTCAGCCTCAGTCTCAGCCTCAGCCTGTCTCAGCCTCAGCCTCAGCCTCAGCCTCAGCCTCAGCCTCAGCCTCAGCCTGCCTCAGCCTCAGCCTGCCCCTCAGCCTCAGCCTCAGCCTCAGCCTCAGCCTCAGCCTCAGCCTCAGCCTCAGCTTGCCTCGGCCTCAGCCTCAGCCTGCCTCGGCCTCAGCCTCAGCCTCAGCCTCAGCCTGCCTCAGCCGCAACTTGCCTCAGCCTCAGCCTCAGCCTCTCAGCCTCAGCCTGCATCAGCCTCAGCCTCAGCCTCAGCCTGCCTCGGCTTGCCTCAGCCTCAGCCTGCCTCGGCCTCAGCCTCAGCCTCAGCCTGCCTCAGCCGCAACTTGCCTCAGCCTCAGCCACAGCCTCAGCCTCAGCCTCAGCCTGCCTCGGCCTCAGCCTGCCTCAGCCTCAGCGTCAGCCTCTCAGCCTCAGCCTTCATCAGCCTCAGCCTCAGGCTCAGCCTGCCTCAGCCTCAGTCTCAGCCTGCCTCAGCCTTAGCCTGCCTCAGCCTCAGCCTCAGCCTGCCTCGGCCTCAGCCTGCCGCAGCCTCAGCCTGCCTCAGCCTCAGCCTCAGCCTGCCTCGGCGTGCCTCAGCTTCAGCCTCAGCCTGCCTCGGCCTCAGCCTGCCTCAGCTCGGGCATTCAAAATATTGCACAGGACTTGTGTTCTGTGAACACGAAGATCACGAAGCAATCAAAATATGGTACAGGAATGATGTTCTGGGGGCACGATGAACACGAAGTGGCCTACTACAGTTGGTTCCGGGCATTCAAAATGTGGCCTGGGAATTGTGTTTTGGGAACACGAAAAACACGAAGTGGCCTACAGTTGCCTCCAGGCATTCAAATCTGGCCTGGGAATGGTGGTCTGGGAAGACGAAGA